AGTTGTATAAGATGAAGTTACTTGACAGTCTCCTCAATAAACAAGGACCACTAACTGATGTTGAAGAAACGTTTAAGACTCAACTCATGAAAGAGTTGACTCCAAAGGACCACTAACTTCGAAATGGTTTGTCTTGTTTAAGTTTTTGTTGCTTGTTTTAATATTTTCATTTGATTAAGTTCATGTTGCTTGTTCTAATATTTTCAGTTGTTGTTATTATTTGTTTCAGGTGGAAGACATAAAGAGGGAAATGGACTTGAAGTCACGGGTGTGCTTGTCATGTGGTTGTGTTTTGTTTCTTTCTGTCACGAGTGTGGTTGGATTGTACTATATTGTTGCTTTGTTTTCTTTATGTCACGAGTCTGCTTCAATTTTGTGACAACTCAAGTCACATGTTTTGTCATGTAATATATTGTTTGTGTATGTCACGGAATTGTATGTCACAACTCTTGTGTCTTTATAAAATTATTGTTGTTTCTCTATAAATTTGTATTCATATCTCTTTCACAACCTCACAACTCTCTTTCACAACCTCAGAACTCTCTCTCACGATTGATCAACCTCACAACTCTCTTTCACAAACTCACATCTCTCTTTCACAAACTCACCTTCTCTTTCACAAACTCACCTTCTCTCTTTCACAAGATCATCATTTTGCTCACTTTTTTCTAAAAAAATTTACATTCTCTTCCTCATGGCATCTTCTTCTCAAAACAATCTTGAAATCCCTATTGAAGATACATTTGATCAAATGTTTGATCAACATTTTGATCAACATTTTGATCAATATTTTGAAAATTGTACTATTGGTAATCAAGAGGAAGCAAGAAAACAAAGAAGAAAACGAGCCTATATCGAAAGACACCGTGAAGAAGGCAATCTCCGTTTGTACAATGATTATTTCAGTGAGAATCCAACATATACTGATAATCTTTTTCGCCGACGATTTAGAATGAACAAACCGTTGTTCATGAAAATTGTTGATCGACTCTCCAATGAGATGGAATTTTTTCAACAAAGACGAGATGGTCTCGGACGGCAAGGTCTCTCTCCACTTCAAAAATGTACAGCAGCCATTCGTGTCTTGGCATACGGTTGTGCGGCTGATGCAGTTGACGAATACCTCCGTCTCGCTGAATCTACAGCTCGGTCATGTGTGGAACATTTTGTGGAAGGAATAATAAATGTTTTTGGCGAGGAGTACCTAAGAAGACCAACACCGGCTGATCTTCAACGTCTACTTGATATTGGTGAGTTTCGTGGATTTCCCGGGATGATAGGAAGCATTGATTGTATGCATTGGGAGTGGAAGAATTGTCCCACCGCTTGGAAAGGGCAATATTCACGTGGTTCAGGAAAACCCACAATCGTTTTGGAAGCGGTGGCTTCGTACGATCTATGGATATGGCATGCATTTTTTGGACCTCCAGGTACTTTAAATGATATCAATGTACTTGATCGTTCACCTGTTTTTGATGACATAATAAATGGTGAAGCTCCGCAAGTCACTTTCTATATCAACGGAAGAGAGTATCATTTGGCTTACTATCTAACCGATGGTATATATCCGAAATGGGCAACTTTTATCCAATCTATTTCACTACCACAACAACCGAAAGCGGCTTTATTTGCTAAACACCAAGAAGCTGTCCGAAAAGATGTCGAGCGTGCTTTTGGGGTCTTGCAAGCTCGTTTTGCCATCGTTAAAAACCCCGCACTTTTTTGGGACAAAGTCAAAATTGGAAAGATTATGAGAGCATGTATCATACTCCATAATATGATAGTAGAAGACGAACGAGATGGCTACACTCAGTATGATGTTTCAGAGTTCCAACAAGGAGAAGACAACCGAAGTTCACATGTTGATTTCACCTATTCTACAGATATCCCTTCAAATATCGCCAATAGGATGGGTGTTCGAACTACAATTCGTGATAGACAAATGCATGAACAACTGAAAGCTGATCTGGTTGAACATGTATGGCGTAAATTTGGCCCTGATGGAGACGATGATGGAGACGACACTTGAGATCAAATGTTTTTTTTTAATTAATTTCGATTATTTTACTAATGTGTGTTTTTATGTTTTTATTTTAAATTCTATGTTTTAAATGTAATCTTTTAATATGTCTTATATAATAAATAAAATTTATGTTAAAAAAAACAATGTTTAATTTTTTTTTTTTTTTAAGAACCCCAAAATAAGCAACTTGCATTGGAGGCAAATAAACCCTCGGGTGCTTAACGTTGGTGCTTAACAACTAAAAAATATTAAACAAACAATAAGCACCCCAAATTAAGCACTTGGGTTATTGATGCTCTAAGCAATTAAGAAAGAGATATGACGTTATGAACCAACCATTATTGCATCTAGTAAAGTTATTAACTTATTATGCATCACAGCGTTTGCCCACGTTTTACCACATGTTTTTGGACCTGTCAAATTATGCCACGTGGATCAGTAAAATCGACGCTTATCTTCTCTGATTGTCTCTTCACTCTAAGCTTGAGCTACGGCTGCTAAATAAATACATAAACTCAGATATTACTAACTGTTTTTCAAATTCTTGCGAGTTATTATTTGTTTTACAAACGAAAAAAGTGTAAGAAAAGGTTCAACTAAACAAATTACTAATTCACCAGGCTAACTGTTCAGTATTAAAAACAGTAACCACGCCACTAGCCGGATCACTGCCACTAACACAACAGCTCATTTATTGGTTATGAATTATGACAAAATGACAATACAAACATTTTTAAGACTGAAAATAACAATAACTGCGTTGGTCTAGTTTTGGCTAAGTCTTGAATGCGTGGAAAGTGGTCTTGTTACATATTAGAACCATGCACCGTTCAAGTCTAAAAACATAGAGTTGCGTACATAGCTGCACCTGCACACGACTTAGATCATGTGGATATACGAGCCCTATCTCTTCTTTCACGTTTATGTACATTTAGTTTTTTTTTTTCTTTTTCTTCTGCCGTTAAAACAGTCACCAGTCTACTGAGTTTACTGTTTGAAGCAGAAAACTGGTCGTAGGGCCAGGTGGTAGGCCATGAGTATATAGAGGGAAGTCATGGTCCTGACCAAAACAATCTGCAATTAGGCTAATCCAACATGGTTATGAACTATGCACATCAATCATGTTTTTGTTAATACGATATATTTTTCTATTATACGTGTTGCAATTTAATTTAATATTCAAACTAATCTATCGCATGTGCATGCTTTTATATTGTGGTCCGGAATTGATCTCCACGGATGCAAGTGGTTTTGAAGCCATATGTAAAAAGAAAATGCATTTTCTCATACCTAAACTTTTAAATACATTTGCTCATGGCTTCAAGGTCGTATCGTGAGTAGATTTCAACCGAGGTTTTTATCACAAGACGAGTTATGGTTAAACATGTGATTAGTTTATGAGTAAGTGAACATGAAATTGGTTTTTGATAATGCGTTGTTAGTATGTTATGGTATAATTTATTAATATCTATACTCATGGTCTTTACTATAGACACTGATATTTAAAAGTTTGACCAGGAGTAGGTCGTACAACATAGAGGAATCAAGAACAGAACCATTGAGGAAGAAGATACGGTCGGTCCATATTCAGCTAAGAAGACCAAACGTAACTCGATGCATCTTTTCTTTGTATTATACACGTTACCATATAAATTGAATATTCAAAATTTTCTTTTGATTTTTTTTGATGTCGCAACTTGGAAAAGAGGAGAGATATGAGATATATCACAAAAGGTAGCTGCCAAAACATTAGGGCAAGCGAGAACCAACGATGTCAAATATCGGTTTAATCAGACGGTTGGGGTTTAACCAATCTTTCTTTGTATATCTTTTGGGTCCTACGGCCTGACTTGAACCTGATATAGTGATATGTCACTTCAGTAACTTTTTTTAGAAAAATGTGATAATTGCAAAAAAAATAACTTACATGTTAGGTTTGAGATAAATACACATTCATTTACCATGGATAAGTATATATAGTATATACTAGTACTCATGTGACCCTTAATTTATATAGAAAACTTAAATCCCTTGAGAAAAACGAAGATAGCTTCGATAGAGAAAGAGTAACAGCTTTATACGACGAGGCTATCTATTCTATGATAGCTTTTAGACACGATCTCTGGCTCTTTTCTTTTTAAACATTGATTCTACACTGTTACCACTGTTCATTTTCTTAAATTATTGCAATCTATAAAGTTCCACCAAACTTATTCGACCTAGTAGTACAATGTAGGTCGATATTCAAAACTAATCAAAGTAATTAATTACAATACAAAGACGTGACCAAAAGTATAAATACAAACTCAACTAAACCGGTCCAACCGGTTTGTTTTTTTTGGCTTCTTTCAACCAATCAATCATCATATCATAAAGCATTAACTCATTGTCACAAGACAGAGCATTGTTTTATCCTCTACCTCGCGGTCCATTGTAGAGGAGGCTCTTTCCACCGTTGGATCAGTTAGATCAAATGCACGCGCGCGTAAACGGGATTTTCCACAACAAAAGAATGTCTTTTCACCGGTCTTATAAAAAAGAACGTTCTTTTTCACATTGGAAAACGGCGTTTTCCTGTGCTAGCCGTCGCCGTCAAATCAGACGGACACAACGCCGTTAGTTACTTAACAGTTAATAGCAAGTATCAACTCTTCTGTAAGAAAGTTACTTCTTTTAAGTTGTAAAAAACAAAGTATATCATTTCGATGAGTGTGTCATTAAAAGATGATCGGAGATGTTTTAAGCAGAGAGTTTAAGTAGTATAGATATATAGGTGTATGTATATATGCTGCTACTACTGACAATATTTGTCGTTGTCTGAGATGTGTACTAAAGTTTCTTCTCTCTCATGGCGTCGGAGCTAAGTTATGATGAAGACTGTACTCTCTTCCTCTCTCTTCTTTAAACATCTCTGCTCTCCTCTCTGCATTTTCCTTACAGTTCACGCTAATCGCCTGTGTCGGTCCCCTCTCTCTCTCTTCTCTCCCCAACAATGGCTAAACGACTCTGAAAACCCTTCTTGCTAGAAAACTTCAAAGGATCTTGCTTTCTTGTCTTAAAAGAAGCTTGACGGTTTCTTATTTTCTGGTTGTTATACTATTTGAGGAAGAGTTTGTGGAAGAAGAAGAAAATGAAAAGCTTGGGTCTTTGCTTGGGGATGGTGTTCTTGATGCTATGCGGTGTCGTTTCTCCGATGAACAATGAAGGTTCTTACTCTTCTTGAAACGTTTGACTATTCAAGAAGATAAAGTATCGTTTTTTCATGTCACTGACGAAGAAGCTGAGCCCTAGATTGCTAGTTTATACTAATCTAATGGTGTTTTGGCATGTGGCTTCTTCATATTTAAAAGATTTGATGAATATCATATTATTTTGTAATGATTAAACAAATCGTTTTTTTTTTTGTTTTGTGTTTATTAATTAATGAAAAGGTTTGTTTGGGATTTTGAACAGGAAAAGCGTTGATGGAAATGAAAGCGTCATTCAGCAACGTGGCGAATATGCTTCTGGACTGGGATGATGTTCACAACAATGACTTTTGTTCTTGGCGTGGTGTCTTATGTGATAACGTTTCCCTCTCCGTTGTCTCTCTGTAAGGATCTTTTCCACTTTACTCCTTCTTTATTTGTTTGATTTAGTTTTTAATGTGATTTGTTTTTTTTCTGGTTGAAGGAATCTGTCTAATCTGAATCTTGGAGGAGAGATTTCACCAGCACTTGGAGATCTGAGGAGTTTGCAATCAATGTTTGTTTTCTCTTCTCTCTTCAACTCTTTTTAGCATAGTATTTAATCTTTATGAACAAGCTTCCATTCTATATAACAGAGACTTGCAAGGGAATAAGTTGGGCGGTCAAATCCCAGATGAGCTTGGAAACTGTGCTTCTCTTGCTTACGTGTAAGTTGTTGACTGTTTGTATACTTAATGAAAATATACGTTGTCAAGTGATGATATAATCAAATCTTTTGTTTTCAGTGATTTCTCCACTAATTGCTTGTTTGGAGACATACCATTCTCCATCTCTAAACTCAAACAGCTGGAGTTTCTGTAAGTGTTCTCTGCTTCCGCATCGGTTTGTTCCCTATGCTTGTTTTTCTTAACTGTTTAACCTCTGGCTAATGCAGGAACCTTAAGAATAATCAGCTCACTGGCCCATTACCAGCAACCTTGACCCAGATTCCAAACCTTAAGACCCTGTGAGTTTGTTTCTCTCTAACCCCACCTACTTATGAGCCAAGTTATTGTAAAAGTGGTCATTTCACTTAGTGTGTTATCCTTGCGTATGATTCCGCAGTGACCTTGCTAGAAACCAGCTAACTGGTGAGATACCGAGGTTGCTTTACTGGAATGAGGTTTTACAGTATCTGTAAGTGTTCATCTACTCATCTTTAAGTTCTTGATGCAAATGGAGATTTGTCTTTTCATGGTGATGTGTTTTTATTTGCAGCGGTTTACGTGGGAATAGGTTGACTGGGACATTGTCGCCTGATATGTGCCAGCTCACCGGTTTGTGGTACTTGTAAGTGAAACCGGCTCAGCTCTCTTTCGTGTTCTATATGTATCTCGGTTAACTGGTTTGTTGTTGTTAGTGATGTGAGAGGCAACAACCTAACTGGAACCATCCCAGATAACATTGGAAATTGCACAAGCTATGAGATCCTGTATGTGTTTTCACCTCTAAGGAAACATTCTGAGTTTTCAGCACCGAACTTGTGTGGACTTATTATGTCTTTTCTATTCTCAGGGATGTCTCTTATAATCAGATTACTGGCGTCATACCTTACAATATCGGTTTCCTCCAAGTCGCTACTCTGTAAGTATTGTTATGACTCTCTGAATCCCTTGTTTGGTTCTCAAATCAGTTCATATGGTAAAGTGGTGATGGGTTCTCTTTCAGGTCACTTCAAGGAAACAGGTTGACTGGTAAAATTCCTGAAGTCATTGGTCTGATGCAGGCCCTTGCTGTTTTGTAAGTTCTGTTGTATTTTTATGTTTCTTTTCAAGATCTTCCTACCCAGTGAAAATAACTTATATCCAATGCGCAGGGATTTGAGTGACAATGAACTAGTTGGGCCTATCCCACCAATACTTGGCAATCTCTCGTTTACCGGAAAATTGTGAGTCCTTACTTACTGTGTCATGCGTATAGTCTCTGATCTTTGTATGGAACACTAAATGTTATTTGAAAATAGGTATCTCCATAGCAACAAGCTCACAGGACCAATCCCACCTGAGCTTGGCAATATGTCACGACTCAGCTATTTGTAAGTTTGAATTTTTGCAACTTTAAATATAAGTCCTACTCAAAACTCAAGCTCATCTCTTGAGGGTTAACCATTTCACAGGCAACTAAATGATAATGAACTAGTTGGAACCATACCTCCTGAGCTTGGGAAGCTGGAACAATTGTTCGAACTGTAAGTTCTTATCCTCCGGAGTTTCACTTATCATCCTATTTGTTAAGCTGACTGATGTATCTCTCCACCCCGTAGGAATCTTGCAAACAACCGTCTTGAAGGGCCGATTCCATCTAACATTAGCTCTTGTGCGGCCTTGAACCAATTGTAAGATCTGAGGTTTTTTTTTGGCTTACTCTCTTTATAATCAAAAGCTTATTCTGCCTTTCTTGTTTTCAGCAATGTGCATGGGAACTTACTAAATGGCTCAATACCTCTTGGATTCCGGAATCTTGGAAGCTTGACTTCTTTGTAAGCTTCAAAGATTTGCATGAACAGTTCGAGTATGCCGTGTGTTAATCTTGAGTCAATGCTGTAAATTGCAGAAATCTCTCCTCAAACAGCTTCAAGGGAAAAATACCTGCTGAGCTTGGGCATATTATCAATCTTGATACCTTGTATGTTATTTCGCCTTTCTTCATATTTACATGTGGACCAGCTCAACTACTAATTCAAGCTTTTGGTTACAGAGATTTATCTGGCAACAGTTTCTCAGGACCAATACCATTAACACTTGGTGATCTTGAGCATCTTCTCATCTTGTATGTCTTCTTAAACCCCTGAAGCTTCCTTGCTTCCACACTTATTTTTTTTCTTCTGTTTGTTGACTTAAGGTGTGCTGTAATTTTCAGAAACTTAAGCAGAAATTATCTCAATGGACCATTGCCTGCAGAGTTTGGGAATCTCCGGAGCCTTCAGATCATGTAAGTTTTTATCCTTTATGCTTAAAGTATCTTTGTTTGTGATAAACATTCTTTTTACCAACTCTTCTTTTTGTTTCTCAGCGATGTGTCATTCAACTTTCTCGCCGGTGTTATTCCAACTGAGATAGGCCTTTTACAGAATATTAACTCCCTGTAAGTAAACTATCACTTCTCCTCCACATAATAGTCTCTTAAACAGATAACTCAATTTCTTTTTTTCTTTTTTTTTTGTATAGAATACTGAACAACAACAAGATTCATGGGAAGATTCCAGACCAGCTAACAAATTGCTTCAGTCTTGTCAACCTGTGAGTCTTCTTTTGTTATAATGTTAATGAAAGTTTCTTGTAATCAAATACTGTTTTTCATGCTCTCTATCCTCTTCATAGGAACATCTCTTTCAACAATCTATCTGGAATAATCCCACCTATGAAAAACTTCTCACATTTTGCTCCAGCCAGGTATAAACTTCGCTATATTTTCAATCCTCTTAACCTGTCATGTGATCAGTATACTAAAACTATTGTTTCGTTTATAGCTTCTTTGGAAATCCATTTCTCTGCGGGGACTGGGTTGGATCCATATGTGGCCCTTCTTTGCCCAAATCACAAGGTATCTGAACTCACACTTATCCTATTGCATTATCCTTATCCGACCTTTGTCTTAACTTCTCTTCCCCTTGACAGTATTCACCAGGACTTCCGTGATATGTATCGTTCTCGGTTTCATTACTCTCATATGCATGGTAGTCATTGCGGTTTACAAGTCAAAGCAGCATAAACAAGTCTTGCAAGGCTCTCCAAAGCGGTCTGAAGGTATTAGTCTCTTCTTCTCTCGTTCATTAGAGTTTCACAGCAGCAACATGACAAGTCCTTTTGTGGAACCTTTCAGGGTCAACAAAGCTGGTGATTCTTCACATGGACATGGCTATCCACACGTTTGATGACATCATGAGACTCACGGAAAATCTCAGCGAGAAATACATCATCGGATACGGCGCTTCTAGCACGGTTTACAAGTGCACATCCTCCAAAAGTTCCCGACCTATTGCCATTAAGCGAATCTACAATCATCACCCCCACAACGTCCGCGAGTTTGAGACAGAGCTAGAGACCATTGGGAATATAAGACACAGAAACATTGTGAGCTTGCACGGATACGCCTTGTCTCCTCCACTTGGCAACCTCCTCTTCTATGACTACATGGAAAACGGATCTCTCTGGGACCTTCTCCATGGCCCTGGGAAGAAAGTGAAGCTTGACTGGGAAACAAGGCTGAAGATAGCCGTTGGAGCTGCGCAAGGACTTGCGTATCTTCACCATGACTGCACTCCTAGGATCATCCATCGGGACATCAAATCATCTAACATACTCCTTGATGGGAACTTCGAAGCGCGTTTGTCAGATTTTGGGATTGCCAAGAGCATACCAGCAACAAAAACTTATGCTTCAACCTATGTTCTTGGAACCATAGGTTATATCGATCCAGAGTATGCTCGTACTTCTAGGCTGAACGAGAAGTCTGATGTTTACAGCTTTGGTATTGTACTTCTTGAGCTTCTTACCGGGAAGAAGGCTGTGGATAATGAGGCCAACTTGCATCAATTGGTATGAGTTTTTTACTTTTTATGGAGCAGAGTGTTACACAAGCTTCTTGTTGGAGACAGTGAAATAAGATTTTTGTTTTTGTTGCAGATACTGTCTAAGGCAGATGATAATACAATCATGGAAGCGGTTGATGCAGAGGTTTCAGTGACATGCGTGGACTCAGGACACATCAAGAAGACGTTTCAATTAGCTCTCTTGTGCACTAAACGAAACCCTATGGAGAGACCAACGATGCAGGAGGTGGCTAGGGTTCTGCTCTCTCTTCTCCCGTCTCCACCTCCAAAGAAGCCGCCTTCTCCTGCGAAACTGGAAGAAAGGCGTGAGAGCCACTCCTCAGATACAACATCTCCACAGTGGTTTGTTCAGTTCCGTGAAGCTATCTCCAAAAGCAGCTTATAAGTTGCTTTTCTTTCTCTTTTTGCGTTTCTTGTGGTGCAAGGAAGCTCGGAGGGGCTGGTTTTTATGTGATTTAGTAGCCATTTAGGGCTGTTATGTCGTTTTGGAAAGAAAACATTAAAGACAAGAACATGGTATGGTATAGGTGAAAAAGAGTAGCTGAAGTTTAATGTGGGTTTCTATGGACATCTTCACGAGTTCGTTAAAGGTCTTTGAGTCTCCTCTTTAATGCTCATATCCATTAATGCGTATATATCTTCTCAGTGCATAAATTTTATTCATTATCGACGGACGGCTCACAAGCCACAAGCTAAGCAAATTATGAAACTACTACCATGGGTTTCACCCATCTTCTACTAACTTACTATGTGTTTGCTTAGTCCGTATAATGTTTTAAAATCTTCTCACATTAAAAACCCATAGTAAATTTGATTAGAAATGCATATTTTTTTGTAGTGATTAACATCTTGTAACCTATTAAAAAATTTGAAATATAATTAATTTTGTTGAATCGTACCAATTGCCATTATTATCTGCTTAAGAATGCATTGAAAATATAAAAATGTAGTTAAAAAAAAGATTTATAACATAAAAATCATTTTCAAATGGAGGAGTACGTATTAACCTACTTATATTAACATGATATAGATTATATATATAAAACTATTATATTACCATTATTTAAACTTACTAGCTATACTTTTACTATTCCTTTGGTTTCATTTAAGTGTTTTTAAGGTAAATGTATTTATTTAGTTTACATAATTTTATCACTAAATCAAATGAACTGAATCGGTAGGTGCAAGGTGTTCTTCAGTTATTTTCTATGCGATTCCATCCTTCAATTATTTAGTTTAGTTTGTTGTTGTAAAAAAAAATTAAAAGAGTAAAAAGATATTGTATTATTATATAATTGGTCACAAATGTCAAAAAATCATTAAATTTTTATCTAAAATAATGAGAATATCATTTATTTTATAATCAAAATATATTAAATACTATTTAATGTGAAACAAAGGGAAAGACGGAGTATATGTGTTTAATGGTAATAAGTAGTAATAATAATCAGTCAATATACTTACTCGCATTTTGACGTTTTGTAAATATATTGAAATATAGTAATTGTGTGTACTGATGGTATTGAAAGTTAAGAAAGTGAGTAATTAAACAAGTGTTTCAAAAAAAAAAAAAAAAAATCAATTAAATTGATAGTACTCAACTTTCCTGGAGCAGAATTTTTGTTTTCTCTTAAAATTTTTTTCTCAACAAATTCTTTTTACTGTTGGCTTCTTTGCCATTGGTCTCACCGCTGGTGATGTGAAAGGATTCCATGTAATTACCTTCGTTAAAGAGTAAAACGTAGACCAAAAAAAAATTAATGACCGACAAAATTATTCAAGCAAACGAAAGTCAGATAATTTCCAATAGATGATTGTGGATCCCATGGTACATAGGAAATTTTGTGAAAACCTAGAATGGTTTTCGAACTAAAGAAATAAATTCTTCAAGAAATTTAGTGGATTCAAAACACTTGAAGTTCAGCCTACAACGTCCTATTTGGACGAGAAAAATAACCGGAAAATTATCATAGGTTCTTAAGGTAGGAATGAAGTTATACTTAGTTTAAAAATGTTTTCTCTTAGGACTAAAAATTTTGGTGAAGAAATAATTTTGACATTCTATCTTATGCTTTTCATTCTTCTTTTCAGTGGTAATGACGACGGTTTCTGGTTGCATGTTAACCCAAAACTCTCTCTTCTTTAATGGCTATGCACGGTGAGGAGATGGCGAAGCTGTGGCAGACAGGACGATGCTCTCAGTAACAGAATTTCAAATCTGCTGTTTCTTCCAAATAATCTGCTAGAGGACAGCGGATGGAGGAGGTTTTTTCTCAAATTGGGTTTTCTGGAGGCCGTGTCTTGTAGCTCCGGTGAGGCTGATGGAAAGTATGCATGTCGATTCAAGATTGCCAAAATCAAAACCGCCTGGAAGTCCGAGGACCTTTAGTACCGTACCCCCAAATCAGCAGCCTTCGCGCCAACCAAGACCGCCCTTGTCCCTCTTCTTTAAGTCGAGTTTGTGTTCACAACCTCTCTCCTCAGTCGAGTAAGAAATATCTCGGAGAGTAGGGTTCTTATTGACTAAAGATTGGTTCTTCGCTTTCTTTTAGAATGAAAGTAGCTATGAAGCCCTTAGGTTCCAACAAGGTTCGCATGGGGCTTCTATGGATCCAACGTCGCTATGTGGTTGCCATTGGAGTGGTTACAACTGGTCGGGAGAGTTTGAGATACATGTTGTTAAAGGCGGCAGGCAAGCTCCGGCGAAGGTGACGGCATAAGTTAGGGGACAACTGAAATGGTGTTAGATCGAGAGTTTTGTTTTGTTCCGATTTAATTTTATTTATTTTTGGATTAGATTTTCATTGTAGTTCTTAACAATTTCCGTTTTAGGCGGATATTTAATATAAAATATTGAAAAAAATTGATGGTTTTAACAAATGTCGATAATTCACCATTATCAATGGGATCTCGATATTAATATCTCACAAATCCTAACACAAAATAAAACATGTCATTCCAAAAATATTTCAAATAAAATATTTCTAATCATTTTTGGAGAAAAATCTAAATATTTTAGATATCCATTTACTTTATTTTGTGTTGGGATTCGTGAAATAATAATGTTAAGATCCCATTGATAATGGTGGTATAACTGTATAAAGTAATATCAAGCCCTACTAATTAGTAATTGCTTATTTTTGGGGTCGAATCACTAATTAGTAATTACTTAAGAAGGTCAAATAAGGTATTTGACATGTAGTTTACTCATTATAAATATAGAGCTCGAGAGTAGTAAAAACTCATTAAGCAGAAGCTTTGAACACTTTCTTGTCTTCATTAAGTTTAATTGCAACAGAAAACATGTCCGAGCCAAGCTTTCCCGTGCCAACATCGTTTCAAGTGCCCAATGATGGTAGCCAAGAGGAAGAGAAGAAAGCAGGTTACGTCAACTATGAAGTAGAGCCTGGCTTCACCATTCGTCTACGTCAGAATATCGACCCTGCCATGGACCCAAAGAAGCTTAGACGGTTCGGCTACATAGTTTGATCACGTTTAATTATCTTGCAGTTTGATACGTATATCGACCCTATTTAACTTAAATTTTGGACTTTGTATTATAGCATAGTTTCGAACCGTGTTTCGGCTCAGAAGTCAAGGTTGAAGAAGCTTCAATATCTTGATGGTCTAGTGCAGAAAGCGAGGGACCTCCATGTATCTATATATATATACACTAGTTTTATGAATCTTAACATTATGTATTATGGTTTCATAATATCAAATGTGAATATATAGTGGCAGGTGAGTATGTTGCGTTCCCAAGTAGAGATGGTGAGTATGCAGAAGAGATGTCTAGAACGTGAGCAAATGGAGCTTAAGGAGTGTATTTCTGGCTGGCTTCAACGTTATATCTCCACTCAAGGTATATATATATATAGAATAGCTAATTAGATACATATATTGAATTGATATAACTATTGTAATAATTATATAATGCTAATTAACAGGAGAGATTGAGGCCAACACAGCGGAGATAGAGAGGCTGAAGATGAAAATGGCTCATATGATTTGACTACCCCCCATGCACCTTCTTATCTTTAGTTCCACCCAAGTTTCTTGTGTTTCATTATGTTTTCTTTGGTCAAGTCAGTAATTGGTATAAATTAAAATGTATGGTTTTCCTTTCTGTTTGGATTGTATCTTTCCTTATTTAAGACATTTAAAACAAAATTAATTTGACCGCATTAATGTTTTTACTTTTTTTTTTTCCTTTTCTAAATATTACTTTTAATATAAAAAATCTGCCCGAAATCGGGAATTAGATACGGTTACAAGCTTGTTTCGAACAAAATATCAAAATCTAACTACAACCTAGCTTCGCGCCTACCCACTAAACCCGGCACATTCCGTTAGATTGTTTTTCAAAATCATGCAATATCGGTAACTATTCTCAATCATCAATGTGACTCTAGGGAAAGTGAGGTTCTTCTCGTTTCCTCGAATGTCGGGAGTTCCCTTGACGTTTTTGAAGTAGCTAGTTTCCGATGATCTCTAGACGAGTAAGCACTCATTCTGCCATCAATTAGACCTGTACAAAGATGGGTGGTCTCCACTGCCAGGAAAGCAGTCCCTAATGTTTTTACTTTCGTTTGTTCGGTTGGATTATGTGGAGAATAAACACTTATCAACACAATGCTTAATGAAAATGTATAACATACCATATAATGATTGGCCATGCGTAGATTTGTACGTACACTTGTTACTATATTCTGTTCCGTTACGTCAACAGTGGATTTGTCTGTTAATATAAGAAAGTGCCAGTTCTGAATGAGTATTAAACGCATGTCCAGAAAGTTACAAAACAAACGGCTATATAATTATCGACATGCACACGCCTACGTCTTCTAACTGCCATTTACTTTTTGACTACTTGCTTTCTGTTTTCTTACCCACAAACGCATAAAACATCACAAGGAAACTTATTAGCAGTTTCGTTGATACTTGTTCAACTTTAGGGCTTATCTGGAAGACATCATTAGAGGAGGAGTAAATGATGATTTTCCGCCCATGATAGGCCCAAGACCTAGAATGAAATTATTATACGGGCCTGACATGGGAAGACCCGGCCCACCTCACGTCGTTTTAAGGCGTGGACATGACTTTTATACAGATCAGTTTCTAAACCAACAGTTCAACTTCATGTCATTTAGAACCTTTGGACTGTCTCTCAAGGTATCATCTAAAACGATCCAAAAAGTAAGAAATCATCTTTGGTATACGACATGTTGATGATAGTTGATACCCAATCATGAAAGATGAAAAACAAAATGTTGATCACACAAAAACAGAGATGAAGCATATTGCTTTACTATGCATATATACTAAAAGGTAACACACTTTAGGTTCCCTCAGTGGTTATAATCTCCAGCTCCGCCCACCAAGATGGCTTTGGCAATGCTTCATCCTCCGTGATTCCTGTGATCTCACTCAGCTTAGCCACCACTTCCTTCATGTCAGGGCTCTGATTCAAACAGTCCATCACCACCTCCCACAATTTATGCAGGACACTCTCGTCGAAGCTTCTCAGGGTCGGATCCACAAGTTCTCTCGCCGGTTTGTTTTCCTTGATGGGATTAAACGGGTCCGGGACCTTCCCGGTGATGACCTCGTACAGAATGATGCCAAAGCTATAGACATAGTTGGTCTGGGGATGGATTGGTGTGGAGTTGAGGAACGTGAAGTCAGCGACTTTGGCTGCGAAATCTGTTGTCAAGTAGACTGAAGAGGAGTTGAGGTTTACGTGGGAGATGGGTTTAGGGTTTAGATTCTGCATGTGTTCTGCACAGTAAGCTATTCCCATTGTGATTCTCAGTCTCTTTGACCAGTCCAAGTGCTCTGCCTCTTTCTCTGTAAATAAGAATACAGTTAGTTTCTAAAACGGGATGAGTCTATCTGTCTATGGAAAAAGTGGTGCATTACTGACCGTGCAAATGCTCAGAGAGTGATCCGAAAGGAGCGTACTCGAAAACCAGCATCCGGTTGAAAGGCTCGTCTTCACGGCAATATCCGATTACATTCAGAAAGTTCTTGTGGTCAACTTGTGATAACCTCTGTATCTGCATTGCAGGATTGTATGTGGTTTTTAGAAGAGGAGACATTAGAGTGTAAGAGAAGGAGGTACCTTCTGTCGGAACTGCGTTTCGAGATCCGCTGACCAGTCATGGAGGGATCCAGATGCGACAGATAGAACGGCAATTTCAGTGCCGGTTGAGAGAGTTCCTTTGTAAATTGTGGCGTTTGAGGATGTGGAGCCTATGATGTTACTGAAATCTTCACAAGCAGTTTCTAGTTCTGATAGCTTCAGCTTAGGAACGCCTTCATGAGTCATAAGTACAGTAAACTCACTCACCAATCTGCTTTGGTATTACATAAAGAGTAAAACATAACAGAGTGACCGAAGAAAACGTAGTACCTGTAATATCAACATCTTGAAGGTGGACAATGCTCCTAGTTGTCCATGGCTTTATCATTATTACATTTTGCTTCCAGAGAAGAAAGAAGGCCACCACTGCTCCCATGACGCCTAATACACCTGCTAACACTCCGACTATTATAAAAATTACGGGATTCTTTTTCTTGGAAGCAGGGTGCGGAGCTGGTGGCAGAGCTAGAGGGGAAACTGGTGGGGGCTGAGCTGCTGGTGGGGGCTGAGCTGCTGGAGGGGGAAGTGGTGGGGGCTGAGCCGGCGGAAGGAGAAATGCTGGAGGAGGGAGAACTGCTGGGGAACCAGTAGGAGGGGTTATATCTCTACTCAACGGAGGAGGAGGAGGAGCGAAAATAATATCGGCGGTGGATACAGGAGGAGGAGGAGGAGGAGCAGAAGGTAACGGAGGAGGGGGAGGAGATTTACTCAAGACTGGATCTTCGCCAGGAGGAGCTATCTGAAGCAGCTTACGACCATTGGAGCTGAAGGGAAACGGTTCGCGAAAGTTGTTATCACACAAATCCAAAACCTCAAGCTCCTGCAATTCTGCTACCTCTTTAGGTACTTTTCCGGAAAATGAGTTGTTTCTCAGAATACTGCACACAAAAAAAAAAGGAATTGTAGATAAACGTGCCTACTACGTATAGTTGAGGGGCTGACTGCTGGAAACTGCTGGAAAAACGTTTACTTACAGAGATTTTAAGTGAGTTAGGTTTCCGAGCTCAGGTGCAAGTGTTCCTTGAAGGGAGAGATCTTGTAGATTTCTACGTATACATAATAAGAAATCAATGTTATAAAACTGAGAAAAATGGAACTACATCAGGACTCTGCTCATCTTTGACTTACAAGATGACAACTCTTCCATCATGTGAACATACAACACCAGACCAAGAACAATGATGAAGCTCTCCCCAATACATCAGAGCTCCAAATGGGTCTATCTCAATTCTCTGTTTGAATTTCATCAAGGCAAATGCTGCAAAAACACCATCCATCAACAGTTTTGAATAAACTCAGAGAAAGATGTAAAAAAAAAAAATGTACCTTCGGTGCTGAAACATAGTCCAAACGTGAGATTGTGATGAAGAAAGAAGAGGAGGAAGATGAAGGAGATTTCTGTTCGGAGCAATCTCCACCGTGGATCAGAACTCATCCTTTGTGTTGATGGAGTTGTTCAAGTCGTCTTTCAGACAAATCAATGTCTGCTCATTTCCCTTTTGTCTTTGTTTTTTGTTTTTGACTTGTTATCAATTTACAAGTTGCTCAAAAATCAACTAAGGAAATTGTTAAGCTTTGGCAGGAGGCTTTTCCTTTTTCTTATGTATACAAATGTTAAACCATAGAAAGTTGGACAATGAAAATGACACTTTCAATTTAAATATTGACACCATCTGCATTGCACGATACTGTCTTCCTCTCTAGAAATTGACCCAGTAAACTTTCACTTGTTTTTTTCTTTCTCGTTAGCAACAATAAAAAACGAAATGAACATCGTCAAATGCATAAAACATATTTTGTGTGTCAAATGACTTAATTTGGAAAAAGTAAGCCCATTGAGAAGGTAAAATAAGAGTGGGCTTGCAAAGAGGCTTACAATGAACCTGTTAACTTCTACATTCCGTCTACAATAATCACTCAATCATTGCTATCTTAAAATAATATTTTAACGTGGAACTACTTATGTGATTGAATGCTACAGATTTTCTCCAAAAAAAAACCCACCGTCCTGGAAAAAGTGGAGATGGAAGAGTGAGTTACCGTGAGATGGCACGGAGCAAGGTACAGTGGATTTGAGAGAAGTTAGGGCGTGTGGAGGGACAAGTGTTCCAGCATTTGGTCATAAGATATCTGAGGAGTTGAGGGCATTCCTTTGGGATCTCTGGTCTTAACCCGCAAGCTGCAATCCCAACCGCTGCCTGTACTGGAGAGCAAGATCCATAAGCCTCCTCACCTGTCACCATCTCCCAAAGCAATATCCCGAAGCTATACGCATTGCTCATCCAACTCTCACTCGTCTTCTCTGGGTCTCCCGCAATGATCTGATAGAGAAAAACATTAGGCATGCTCAGTTAATGTAATGGTGAAGTATGTGCCTACAAGTCTAATTTACTCTATAATCACCAGGCAATGTTTTCTTTATCATTGCCTTGCAGATCAAATATGACGAGGTAAAAGCAATGCATAATCCTGAAAGCAAATCATTAAGCCTCACAGAAATACAAACCTCGGGTGCAAGCCATCGATAACCATCTGTCTCGTACTCCATGGCCTCGCTGGCACTCTTGCACGCGGTGACTATTCCCATATCACCCAAACAAGCGTTTCCCTGCTTATCTAATAGTATCCTCTGTGTATTAAGGTCTCTAAACGCAACTCCATGATCATTCATGAACTTCATCCCTTCTGCTATGTCAACAGCAATTCGAAATATCTCCTTGGTCTGAAGCTTCTTTTTCTTCAACATCAGTTCACGGAGTGATCCACCTTGCATCAGCTTCGTCACCACGCATAACCCATGATTTTCATCAATGCAAACACCATAAAACTGCAAAATACTCTTGTGTCCACAACTCATCAGCTCCAAGAAATCTCTTCGGATCTCAAACTCATATGAATTCCCCTTATCACATCCTTTTAGTTTCTCAATAGCCACCCTCTTCCCTCTGTAAACTCCTTTAAATGAATTTGATCCCAACTTATCACCAAACTCGACACTATCCGAACACAGTAGCCAGTTCCCAATATCATCACCGCCACATTGGATTGTCTGCCATTCATCTACTAACACAGAAAACTTAGAGTTCAATGGCGGCATTTCAAGCTGGATCCTAGTATCCAACTCTTCCCCACAGCACTGATCAACAGACTCTTCATCAACATCCACGAACTCTCCTAAACCCGCTTTACGTTCTTGACAACCGCAGAGTCCAAAAGGAAGCTTCACAGAGGTTGTTGACTTAGACTTCCTCACCGCAGATTTAAGCGCATTCTCTACCTTATTCTTAAACAACTTCTCTTGTCCAGACTCAACCAAAAGAAGAACAACTCCTAAAGTCAACCCCTTCTTCTCAAAGATCTGAACCTTCTTACAACTAATCAAAGCACTCTCAAGAGACGCTGAAATAGTTGACCAAGAAAACGAAGAACTACAAGCGAATGTGAGCTTAAACACTGAGCCCTGAGCTTCCTCAATCACAAACACAGGATATTCATCTCCATAAGCTTGCTCTATCAGTTTTATATGCCCAAAGACCTCTTTCATATCAAAACCAGCTTGACTATAACTGTTAAACCAAAAATCAAAATCATTATCCACAAAATATAACCGCATGTTTAGAATTAGATCTAATCTATAATTAAAACATTGATTAATCAGAATGAGTAATAATGACGCAACAATATCGTAACCGTTTCGTTACCTGAGAGGCAAGGAATCGTAATGCTTCCTGAGGTTAGAGACGAGCTTCTCCGGTAATTGACTACCTGGATACATTTTGGCAAGGTTTCTCACAACAGTGGCCCACACTAGCTTCCTCCCTCCTCCTCCTCCGTTCGATGATGCGTTTTGGCTTTCACGCACCGAATCGAGGCTGAGAGAGCTTTTGAGCGACGCGATCGCGTCGGAGACGTTGCGGCCGAGACGCTGGAACCGTTTCTGCATAGCGGAGGAGGTCTGATCGAGACGTGGAGCGGTGGTGAGGGATTCGGACCTGTCGTCTGAGCACATGAGGACTTGGTCGACTGGATCGTCGTCGGTGCGTTCGCCGGCGCCACGGTTGGACCAGCATTCGAGGACGGAGGTCATGGCGGCGAAGGTAACGAAGTTTTTGCGTCCTCTATGACTTACTTTGAATGTTGAACATGGCGAGTGAAGTGTGAGAATACTAATGCACTATTATTAACGTTTTAGTCTAGTAAAACTGTATTGTGTATGTAACAACAAGCACCAGTGGTCTAGTGGTAGAATAGTACCCTGCCACGGTACAGACCCGGGTTCGATTCCCGGCTGGTGCATTATTTTTGTTTCCAAAACAAAATTTACATTTTGAGCCTTTGTAACTTGTTTTTTCTCTTCCTTTGTAATTATAAATACCATCTTAATAAACAAAACATGCCGGAGAAAGAAGAAATTATACAAGTCTATGTGTGTATATAAAAAATAGTCTTTAACATTGGGGTAAGTCCAATGGTGGAGACTGTACAGTCTGCAAATGACCCTCACCGTTCTCAACCAAAAAGACCATAGCAAGACCCCAGAATAGATGAGAGTCGATGTGACAATGCATCAGCCAAACTCCAGGATTATCAGCCACGAATCTGATAGCTATCCATCCACCAGGAGGTGTTCCAATAGTGTTTCTCCGTGGTGGATCAATAAGGTTGAAGCTTGATGTGTCTTTGTTCGCGTTGAAGTTACCAATACCTGTCCCAACTACATAGAACTCGTACCCGTGGAGATGCATTGGGTGATTCTCAGTGGTGACAATGCTTGTGTCTTGCAATATGACTTGTACTTTGGACTTGTACTTTAGCTTGTAGGCCTTTGTTCCACGTGTGGGCTGCCATAGTCCTCTGCTCACGTTTCCTGTGTAGTCAAATGTGGTTGGAGGAACAGGAGGGAAGTCTGTGGTGAAAACGCCTGCGGGTGTGCCTTGGTAATAGGCTTGCATGATGGAGTTGCGTCTAGGGAAGACGAAAGAGACGTTGTTGATGCTGGCAGTGAAGCGTGTTCCGTTTGGGCCTTGACACCTTTGCGTGTTGGGCGTTGTGCAGTTGAATAGTCCCAATCCCACCGTGAAGAACAAGTCCTCGTCGACCTCGAGTGGTACTTCAACTTTTGAAGGACTCTTTATCTGAGCTGTGAAGGCTGCTGCTGTTGCTGTGTCGTTGAATCCTGGCAGCTGCGCGGGTATTGCACGTGCCTGTGGTTTACCTTGAAGAGTAGTAACACAAGGGGCGTCTTTGTACTGGAGGATTGCTGTGGTGGTGGTGTTGTCAAAGGGAGCGTTGGCGCTGTTGTAAGCGTGTGCAGCCATGTAGTAGTGTGCTGGAGGTTGGTCCGCGGTTAGAAGCACATCAGTTGTCTGACCTGGACCTAACATTATGACATTGGTGGAGAAAGGTTTGGTGTAGGAGGCATCCGCAGCAACCACTGTAAGTTTGTGGTTCGCCACACCGAAGAAGAGTTCTTGGTTTAAGCCAGAGTTGATGACCCTGAGGAGGACGGTCTCTCCTGATCCCACCAGAAACCTTAAAGTTTCTGCATTAAGACAAACATAATATTAACTAAACAATGGTGGCTGTAACTGTTTTGAGGCTCTGAGAAGCATAAACTAAAATTCACCTTGGCTGGAGCATCTGTAGAAATCACCAGGCTGACCGTTGATGGTGAATGCGTCTGAGACGTTTGGTGCAGCTCCAGTGAACTGGGCCAAGTTCAGAACATCCATGGGGTTTCTGTCCCACCATTCCCCTAAGAGGAGAGTGAACTCTCTCTTGGGAAGAACTGGAAAAGGGTAATGAGGAGAAGAGAGAGGAGGGCGGATGATGAGAGCTCCATACACGGTGGCTCGCAGCCATCTGCTGTGGGCATGCCACCACAAGGTGCCTTCTTGTTCTTCGATGTTGAATCTGTAGGTGTAACTTCCTCCTGGTTTGATTGGGCATTGTGTTATGAATTCTGGTCCATCCGCCCATGGATTCCGCATCTGCCTTATCCCATGCCTGTGGCAGACGTTGCTTATAGCTAGTATTTTGATTATCATTACATTAGATTTGATACAAGGGAGAGTGAGTAAGTGAATTACCAGTGGAGGCTAATGTTGTACTGAGCTTTGTTAATGGCAGTGATGACAAGAGAATCACCGTTTCTGACCTCCAAGGTTGGCCCTGGAAACTGTCCGTTCACAGTGATGGAGTTATGAACTCTGCACAGCCTCTTCACCGGCGTCTCTTGGATCTAAACCAAACACACAAAAGAAACAAAATAACTTGAGCATCTCAATGGAGGGAACAACCAAAAAGGAGCGAAGTAGTAAACACACAATGAACTCATGGAAGTGAACTTCTGCATTAACAAGTGAAGCTACAAAAACCAACAACACACAGAAGAGCCAAACTTGCTCCATTTTCGATTCTGACTTGTGAGAGAAAGAGTAAGCAGAGTTACCTTTTTATATGCAGTTGAGTTGAAGGCAAGATAGTCAAACCTGTATAGACTGATTTTGGTGTAACCACTAAACAACAAACAGTTTCTTCTTTTAAAAAACTTTGATTCCACAAGATGTAGGTGAACCCCTACCCGCCCACTTTCTTTGTTTTCTTTTTCTCATCCTCGTACACCAAATCTCTGTAAGTTTTTGGATTCTCAAGAATCTTTCCTTACTATTTTAGAATTAAATAGAATGTACTAAAATATAAAATATGCCAAAAGCGGTTGGAATATTTATCAACTCAAAACCAAATATTTTGCTGCCTTCATCATCAATTCATCATCAGTTGAACTTGATTTTCTCCACAAAGCAGAGACACTTTCTCATTGAGACATCTGCTTCTCCAGTTCTGGATAAACTCCCCCCACCCCAAATAAAACTTCATGATCACAGTTCTTTAATATGCGACTTCCTATGCTTCATAACTATATAGTAATACAAAATTCCCTAACATCACAAGCCATTTAGAAACTTTCTCGCATAGTGCTGCAAAAGGACTGTATCAAAAACCAAAATCTAAAATGAGACAAGTGATTGTTTCCTCCCTTCTCTAAATAATATGAGCTTTTTCAGCATTTTGCCATTAAACTGCGTTCTTATTACCAAATAAACCAAAATAATAGCATAAGCTGAAGATGTGCACTTCGAAAAGAAGAACAGTGACCCGAAAACTCTCATGGGTCGGATCCGGTAACTCAATTTCGGAGCAGCCCTGAGTTCATTCATAGAGAAACCTTCCCAACATAGTTGACTTCGGAACAAGAAAGGGTCAAATGAAGCTTAGTCATCTCGTTTGGATGCGGAGATATAACTATCACTGGATAAGACTAATAATTTCCATAATTGGGCCGATTTAAGTCCGGGTCGGGTCAAAACCCAAGCAAAAAGTCGTTTAACTTGACCCGACAGTCATCTCATCTTCCCCAACCAAGTCACTCAAATTCACGCCACTTATCGTTCCCGTGAGCCCCACCGCCGCTCGACTTTGTCTTTCAATTCCCGTTCACAACCACTGTATCATCATCTCCGTCCTCACACCACAATCCAAAAAATGATGGGCTCAGAAAACAACGACGACGACGAGGCCCATCTCCACGCGTCCAAACAAGACATGGACAATCTCTTCTCTCCACCGCCGATCATCGTAACTCCAACCGATTCCGATCCACTCTCTTCCCCTCGATCGAAACCAAACGGCAACGACAACAGGTCTTACCTCGAACCTCCTTCCTACGCAGACGTTATCTTCAGTCCTTTCGATGATAACAGCTCCGAGATCAACGGCTCAGATGATACTCAATCCCAAGACTCGTTCTCTAGATCTCTCTCAACCTCCTCCGATTACATCAAAATCACCGTCTCCAGCCCTCAGAGAGAGCAAGACTCCGCAACGACGACATCAATGCTCTCCGGAGGAAGCAGTTACATCACTTACCTAATCACCACCAGAACCAACCTCCCTGACTACGGCGGATCCGAGTTCAGCGTGAGAAGAAGGTTCAGAGACGTTGTTACCTTAGCCGATAGGTAATGTTAAAAATAGATTAGTCCGGTTTAGTGTCCTGAACCGACCGGTTTAATATTCTGTTATTGGTTTAGTTGTTTGTTACAAGAGGAGTGTGATCCATGTAAAACGTTGAACAGAGAGTACGTAAACTAGATTAGTCCGTTTTAGTATCCTGAACCGACCGGTTTAATTGTTTGTTACAAGAGGAGTGTGATCGATGTAAAACGTTGTTACCTCAGAGAGTATGTAAACTAGATTAGTCCGTTTAGTATGCTGAACCAACCGGTTTTATATTCTGTTATTGGTTTAGTTGTTTGTTACAAGAGGAGTGTGATCCATGTAAAACGTTGTTACCTCAGAGAGTATGTAAACTAGATTAGTCCGTTTAGTATGCTGAACCAACCGGTTTTATATTC